ACGTCACAATCATCTAGGTTTATATCTATCACCTATCCATCCATTATCTGTCATCTACGTATCCATCAGCTGTTCCTGTCATTCTACCATGTATCATCTGTCTCTGTCCACTTACCTGTGTACCCGTGAATCTACTGTCTCTCATCTAGCATTTCTTATCTTTCTGTCATCTGTCTACCACCTACCCATCATCACCTTCATACCTATCTATCAACTCTCTGTAAATATCTATCATCCATCCACCCATCCATGCTCTGTGTATCTATGGATACATGTAACACTTATGTGAATATACATATATGTCTCTGTGTATGTAGTTTGGTACATTTTAATTCACAATACTGATGAACAAACCAGACCCCCTGGCGTATAGAAGACTAGAAGTATAGCCTGAAAGTCGCGGACACACAGATGATATTCACTCCAGCCACAACAGAAGGTGTCTTCATTCTAAGGGTACACTGAGCGTCCCCTGGGATAGTGCTTGGCATAAACAGGAAAAACGCCTCAGTAAACTTATTTATTCTTGTATGTTTATTTTTATTGCTACATATTTGCAGTACATAATGATTATAATCCTTGTGGGAAGTTGGTAATACACACAACACATCTTAATATTTGTTCATCCCTTTTTCCTTTCCTTCTCCCCATGCATATCTTGTTTCCTTTCCTTGTAGCTGAAGATCTATCTTCCTGCTTACTTTTATGTATTTTAATTTAGCTCTCTATTTTATTTATACTTTTTCTTTTGTGGAACCGGGGATTGAACTCAGGCCCTTGCGCTTGCCAGGCAAGCGCTTATTCTACTGAGCCATCTCGCTGGCCCTATTTATACCTTTTGGGTCTGGTTTATTTCACTTAACTTGATGGTCTCAAGGTGATCCATTTTCCTATAAATGACTCAAGTTTACCCTTCTTTATGCCAGACTAGTGCTCCACATTTGTGTGTAAAAACTACATTTTCTTTATCCATTCATGTGTTGCTGGACATATAGGCTGCTTCTAAGATTTAGCTATTATAAGTTGTGCTGCTGTAAACATGAGTTTGCATGGATCACTGTATGTGATGTTTTAACTCTTCCAGGAAGACACCTAAAAGGCATATAGCTGGGTCAAACAGAATCTCTAGTTTTAGTGTTTTTAGGAATCTCTATCCCAATTTCCACACTTCTATGAGTTTACATACCCATCAAATGCAGAGGGGTTCCTTTTCCCGCATAGATTTACCAGCATTTGTTGATTCCTTGATGATGGCCATTTTTTAAAAAAAAATTTTACTAATTCTATTTTCTTTTTTAATGGAGTGGCAGACAAATTATAACAACAGTCCAGAGATTTTTAGTACTGCATTTTTTAAAAATTTAATTTATTTGTGTGTAGGGGGGTAGCCAGCTCAGCCCACCAGGGGGCGAGGCTGCATGGCATGTGGTGCACCGTGGTCCTTGTGCTTTGCTAAGCTTGTTCTAAGTAGGTGCTTTAGACCACTGAGCCATCTCACCAGTCCCTGCCATTTTTTTTTTTAGAGTTACATAGAATCTCAGTGTTGTTTTAATTTGCATTTTTCTAATGTTCTGCAATGTTGACTGTTTTTTCAGTATTTATTGGCCTTTTCTACTTCTGAGATGTTTGTATTTCAGTAGCCCAGTATTTTATTGTGTCTTTATTTTGAGAGTTCTGATTTTTTTTCATTATGCATTATAGAGATTAATCTTCTGTCTGAGGACTGCTAGAAAACATTCTTCCTCATTCTGTAGGTTGTCTCTTTACTCTGTTAGTTATTGCCTGAATTGTTTTCTTAGTTACTTTTCTTGTTGCTGAGACAAAATAACCAACACCTAAGGTTAACTCACAGTTTGTGGAGATTTCAGTCCATAATAGGCCGGCTCCAAGGCAGGGTGGTACATGCAGAGGGGCAAAGGTTCAGGGTTGCTGCAGAGAGCAAAATCAGCAAGACAGGAGGGAAGAGGGGACAAGCCCTTTTATTATATGCAGGCTACCCACTCTAAGGCACGTGTAGCACTCACACTTTTAAACCCAGCAATGAACTATGAATCAATCACAAATTCTAGATTCAGTGACCAAGGCTTATCTAAAAGTGCATGAGGCTTTTGGTGGACAGCTAGACACAAACCATAACAACTGTGCAGATGCTTTTTAACTTGTTTTGATTCTGTTTGTTGATTCTTGGTGCTATTTCCTATGCAATTGGGTTTCTGTTCAGAAAGCCTGCCTATGCCCATGTCTTCAAGAGTTTTACCTATTTTCTCTGCCAGCAGATTTAGTGTTTCTGTTTTAACATTTAAATCTTTGATCCATTTTTATTTTATTTTAGTATATGGTGAGAAAATATGGGTCTAAATTCAATCTTCTGTGTATAGATAGGCAGTTTTCCCAGCACAATTTATTAAAGAGACTACCTTTCTGTCCAGTGTATGTTTTTGGCCCCTTTATCAAAGATCTGATGGCTGAAAGAGCTAAGGATTTTATCTGTTCTGTTCATTCATTCTCATGTCTCTTTTTGTGCCAATACCATGACATTTTTATCACTGTAATTTTGTAATATAACTCTGGGATTGTGAGGCTTCTACCGATGCTCTTATTGTCCAGGATTGCTTTCAATATTCTGGGTCACTGCTGGTCCTATATGAATTTTAAGATTGTTTTATGAGAAGAATGATGTTGGTATTTTCATTAAGATTGCATTAAATCAACATATCTGGCTTGGTAGCCTCATCATTTTAACAATATTGCTTCTACCTATCCAGGAACAGGGGCTATCTTTCCATTTTCTGATATCCTCTGTGCTCTCCCCTTTCAAACTACTATAATTTTCATTGTACAGCTCTTTTGTTTCCTTGCTTAGATTAATTACTAAATAATTAATATTTCTTGATATTATGTATGGTATAGTTTTCCTAATTTATTTTTTCATAAGTTCAGAAGTTCTATTTCGGGCTGGTGAGATGGCTCAGTGGTCTAAAGCACCTACTTAGAACAAGCTTAGCTAAAGCACAGGGACTGAGGTTCAATCCCCCAGCACCACATG